GAAGATAGGCTGTCAATAGCCGACTCCAAGTGAGCTTGCGGCCGGACTGCCGAGAGTTTGGCACGAGGTTTTACGTGTGACTCCTACTCACGCGCTAGAGAGCTCAGCTGAAAGTCGGTGCTTCACGTTCTTTATCTCTCCTATCTTGATTACATATGCATGCTTGCTTACACTGAAATGCCTTCTTCCACATGCTATTATTTTGCAGGCATGTGTGCGTCTGCCATTCATTCAAGCTTTGTGGAATTCCATTAGATGAGGGCTTGGCTTCAAATATTCTTGATGCCTCGTTCAGAGCTGTTAACGACGTAGTCATTGATAGGGTGCACACTGTTACAGCCGAAACACTTGTCAAACTAGTAGACAAGGTGAGAAGTTAATTACGTGCGTTTCAGGGGAGTTGTTATGATTGCTTCAGTGGGTGAAGTTTTTATTTCTCGAAATCTTTCGATCTTCATGACCTCATGTCCTGTTGGCGTGTTTTTCATGTAATCGAGGTGTTTTGTTTTTGCTTCACTGATGAGCCAGAGAGACAGATCTTTTAGTCTCCGTTTCATCAATGGGTTTCGGTGGAGGAACTGTCGGTGTGCGGTGTCCATAGAACGGTAGTGCAGTAGAACGGAGACTAGATCTTCTCCAAACCCCAGCCTTTATGAAAATTCAAGAAAATCCATAAAGCTTTCCATCAAACACTACGATTTAAATTCGTTTTTCTCTAAGATTCTCTAAGAAGAACAATGTAATTGAAAAAACCAAGCAAAATAATTTGCATTGTAGGCATTAGCATTTCATATTTAGGCTTACCCATCAAACAAGCTAGTCTTCTGTAATCACTGTTCAAACCAGTCGTCGGAAGCGATAGTACCGGAGCTGTTATTGTCTTGTCCCGCGAGAGTTGTAAGCATAGAACCAAGTGTGGCTTTGGTAAGCTTCGCTTCACCACGGTTATTTTAGCGTACAGTTTCACCTTTTTCGAACCTACATGCATTCCTAATGAGGGCATGGCTTTCACGTATCTTGCCTAAGATATGTTTAAGTTTTCGTTCTTTTCTTTTAGCTACACCACATGTTTGATGACTCCGCTCTCGTGCGCCTCGTCATCTCAGATCATGCAATACGACGAAATGTTCGCCTCCCTTTGTGTGCAATTACTCATCGTGGCATTAGCCGCGCTGCTCAGGTATTTTAGCATTACTATAACTTTCATTAAAAAAGAAATGGTATAGTTCTTCTTGTATGACAGGATCCACAGCTTTAGAATTTTAAATGACTCAAATCCGTCATCCAGGCCTTCTATAAGCGGTGCTGTGATGTTATGGCTGAGGTCACTGCCGAAATGCATGCACCAAAATGGGAAGTACGTGGCTTCCATAATTCTGTACATCTTAGAGCATTTTTTCACTGTATTCTTCTTCATTAATTTGAACTTCCTTTGGTTTCGATGTTTAACAACTGCAAGTAATCCTTACCATTCTGCTCCGCATAATTAATCTCCATCTATTGTCGTGTCGTTCCACAGCACTGTTTTCACTTTTGCTGTTCCAGACCATTTAGAAATGTGGGAATCACACCGTTCTTTTTTGTCACCGCCTGGGCGCAGTTTTCAACTTTTAATCACGACCGGCTTCTGCGTCATTCTGAAGAGCAGTGATTAGTTTCTTTCTTCTCGATAACCAGTTTTTTAGATCTCTGTTTCTTTCCCATCGTCCATACTAATCGACCGAAATTTGATCGAAGTTCCCATTGAAATGCGAGGACAGTTTACAATTTGGAGTTTGTTCCCTCCATACAACGACGGATTCACTGTAGAGGTGCATTTTAGCAGATGATTTTTCATTTACTTAGGCGACGCTTTTACTCGTCCAGCTTGCATTCAGCCGCTCTGGTAACAGGAAGGTTTTTCATGAAGCGTAGATAATCACTTTCTGGGGGAATGTCGTGCGTTTTTGACTCTCCCTCTGTTTGTTTGATAGGTTTTTCAGCAGAATCCGCCAATGGGCGAACCGTGAAACAAGTAGGCTTATTCCTCAATCACGGCAAGTTTGTTCACAAGTATAAATTAAGGTGCTCTTTTGTAAGTTGTTGGGTTTAGATACAGCACCAGGTTCTTGTAAGCGGACTAGCGCAAGGTCATACAAGAGCGGACGTTTCGAGCTAAAATGTAAAGCCACCAAATATTTGTAACCTTTATAATATTGCTTACCAAAACAAACTGGAAATTTAAGGTTCGCGTTGGTGGAATGAATCTCAAGATCATAGTGGAATCATCGTAATACTACCTCAACGCATATCTCTTATGATATGTTAGTTTTTTCCCCGTCTTTCTCAAAAATTACTGTTTTATATCGACATCCATATTTGCCTCTGATCTCCACCCTTTCTGATCTTATCATTTGATTCCTACATCGGAACCATTCAATTTCAACGTGATTTTAGTATCTGTGATGCTTCTACGAGGTATAATGGGTAGAAACATGGTCAAGCATACTATTGTAAAGTAATTAGTGCATTCCTGTTTGGCAACCGACATGCTAAATAGATAGTGTCTCCGTGAGCGTAGAATTTTTATTCTATTACAAATTCTCAAACATTCCGACTATGACGTCTAGAATTTATATTCAAGTGCTCGAAAACTGTAATATTTTACTATACTGCTCTCCAGGGGGTAGTTTTTCTTTTGCTTGATCATGTGTTAGAAGTAACGGAATAGGTTTTTCCCCAACTGTTATGTTTTATCGTTGATATTCATTCATGATAGATTCCGATTGCGAATTGTTGCTTGCTCGCGAAGATTGGATATGAATACCTTTAAGTATTAATGTGGTGGAATAAAATTATGATATTAGACTGTGATTCGTATTGCTAGGAAGACGGAAGGAGGAGGAAGCCTGTACCTACAAGATTTCGCTGCGTTATCAAATTTATAGAACACATTTTCATAAGATGTGATATTCTCATTCATATTTTCATAGGATGCTCTTATAAAGGATATTGGAAACAGTTTGTGAGTCTGAGAAGACACTGTCTGAAACCTTCCGCCTGTGGGTATTAACTGGATGTCTGTGCTGTCGTGTGGTTTTGAGCCCAGGTCGGAAGTTTCGCAGATGTTTTCTGTGACAATTCTATGAATCACTCCTAGCCACCATGACTGTTCTTTCATTATTATTCTAATATTTCTAATCTTTTTGTGTAACGGTCTCCGGACATCTGTCAACCGTGAGGCTAGGCAATTCAGCGTTTTGTTGTGCTGTCTGGGAGCTCTCACACAAGCGCACTATTACAGAATCTCCGCTTTCTTTACCTCCTTAAAAGGCTTAGTCCCACTACCACAAAGAACGTCTGCTTTTCCTTCTACACTCTCACCCCCTGGTTGACAGAAGCCTTGTAACTGTACAGATCGGTGTCAGTGCCAGATGTCACTCGCTTCTCGTAACTTATGTCCCACTAATTGCTAACCGCTACTGACAGTGACCATGCCAATTCTCACGATCATTCAGAAGGGTTACTGCTTTAAAAGGAGGCATTGTTGCTTTTGTGGCAAGAAACCTCTACACTCCAAGAAGAAAAGACGTATTGCTTGGAAACTTGTATTGATGGTGCAGTCGCTTTCTTTCGCAATCGCAAAGTGATTTGAACTGTGTAGTGCCTTGGTCGCAAACACTGCCGGAGTGACTCCTGTGATGGTGACAGAAAGACGGGAAAGCGAGAGGGGGAAACAAAAGGCATTTGTTTGAAGTGCCCGCATATTCTATACTTTATCTATGTAACGCGTTATAAATCAAAGCATGTATTTGTTGCAAGAGTCGGCTGTTTGGGTAAGCTTGTCCAAACAACCTCTATATTGGTCGCTGGCTCGTCCAAGGTGAAAATCAACAAGCAGAGAGGGATTTAAATTTGATTTTATGCCACCTTTTTTAGTTTCTTCTCACCATTGCACCTTCCGCCTCGGCTTTTATTTCCCATGAGCGTTCCTTTTCTCGTACCATCTGTCTTGATCTTGAAGTTAGGCCTAAATGAAAAAGCACACTTCCCCTTCAAGTAGACAGAGGGGGCAGGGGGTGACCAAGTCTAGCCGCACAGATAACGTTAACACCTTACGACCGAAGTATCGCTTCTTGAAAGAAGCTTTTGAAGCGTTTTGTTCACACATGAGAAGGGCAGTAATAAACTCGCTTCTCCTCCCACTTCTGTCTACCTACACACATTCTATACCTTCGCCGTTTGATTAGGCGTGCTTATGGATTTGACGTGACTGTCGCCGCACTTGATAGAAGTTGCGCGGATAAGCTGCTTCCAGCATGCTTTGCTGATATCCAGCGGAGTATGTTAGAAACAGCTTATCCACACGACTTCTATCAAGTGCGGCGACGGCCACGTCAAATCCATAGACACGCCTATCAAAACGGCGAGGTATGGACTGTATGTATGACCTTGATGGTTGCTTCGAAGACAACCCTGAATTTTGGTTATGATTCATAACAACACAACTATCATATTTACATTAACTACATATATACATTCACGTCTCAACAACGACTATAGTTGATTAGACGGCCGTGTTGTATGCGAAAGAGACGCTGCCTCTGTCCAACCCAGCGGTGTTATCGCTCTTTTCGTCGCTATTCGATGCGGGAAGAAAGGACGCAGCCTGAAGGAATGTTGACTTGTAGATCTGGCACCGAGAAAGGAAAATATCTGCAGACCTGCTGCCGTTTGAGGGCTTCGTGGGATTGAGTGCCAGGTTGTGCGACAGCGCCTCCTTGGATGGACAACCGCAACTGAGACGAGAGAGCCGATTTTAGGTTCTTCTGCAAACAGCTTCCTAGAACTTTTGTCATGTCTACTATACTACTGACTGTTGGGTTTGCTCATGTCCACGATCAACACTCACCGCAAAATTGCCAATTAGCGAGTTCGAGTTCGCCTTCCTCGCCTCTATCCTTGACCTGTAGAGGAATTCGCCGAGAGCTGCTATCATCGATGCTATCATACCGCCCATCAGTATGTAAAAAATTCCTGCTACCTTCGATAAGTTGAGCGAGGCCGAGGAACCATCCTGAATGGAAAAACATGGAAATTGTAGGTAATCGAACAGAATGAAAAGAAATGGTGCGATAATTTGGATGCCGAAGAAATGGTAGTTTATTCCCTATGAAGCCCCTAAAGAACCGAGACGTGGTACTTTTGCGGGAAAAGGTACGCCCGCCCAACATCCTCGCTCGCAGTGACAGCAGGCTTCATGGAGAGCTCCGCCTCCAGGTGGAGCCTATGATTGGCTGGTGGCGGCCTATGATTGGTTGGTGTTGGCCTATGATTGGTTGATGGTGAAACGGTTGCCAATTGCGGGAGTTAGAAACGCAAGACAAGAAATTATCGCGTTATCTATCGCAGAATCGTCGAGGGCGAAAATCAATGAGGAAAAAAGATATCTCATTTCGATTAGTTTTAGGCCGTTTCCTTTGGTTTTTTTTCATCACCATTGCCATCACCATTACCATATGCCATCTCTTCTTTCATGTTCAACAGCGGCCAATTTATTGCACCATTAGTCTGTAAGGTAGTAAGGACGGACCACAGTAATGCCTTGGTCACACTGTCCGCGATCGTACCACCATTTATTCTCCAATTTCTTCAGTTCTCCACGTTCCTGTAGAGCGAGGATCGCAAGATTGATGTGATCCTTCCAATCGGAACCGAAAGGTGTCGCGACTCCGTATCCGATGCTGTTCAGATTCGCACCTAAATATTTCCATTACCACACCAAAATATTAAAGGAATCTTCCACGGAAAAAGCTCCGCCTCCATTACCACAGAAAAACGATACCCCTTAGGCCCCTAGCCTCATGAGCATAGCAAAAAGAACGGAACATAAGTTTCGATAATACTAATCCTACACACAAGACAAAATGATCACTCTTTCCGTGGAAGATTCCTTTAAGGTATCGTTTTCTGTGGTAATGAGGGCGGAGCTTTTTCCGTGGAAGATTCCTTGAATTAATTCCCAAAACAGGTACATTCACTTACCGACTTTCATTGTGTCACAGGGTTTACGCGTGTTTTCGTACTCGTTAGCGGTGGCTTCAAGCAGAAACGCGTACCGTCCTTTGTGGCTACGAACTCTTTCGATACCTTCAGCGTAGCTGGAGACGAACACTGAAGGCACCTGTGATTCCATGTAACGCCACATCCGCTGGTAAATCTGCACCGATGAGTACTAAAGGAAATTCTGCAATGAAATGTCGATCTCAATGTCAAATTTACTGCTGGATATTCACCTTGAAAAATGACGCTGTTGATCCTCCACCTTGAGTTCCATATTTTATTTTTGTCTGCTTGGCGAGATCCTCGACACTTTCAATGGGCGCTTGCATTTTTTCAAGAGTGAGAAAAGCGGCCAAGTTGGCTGTGTATGAGGAG